TTGAGAGTTCAGAAATGTGCTATAGAAATACAAAAACATATTTTCTAGAATGTTGTAAATTGTTCACTAAATTATTAGTGTGCAAAATAAATCTAATTAATCGAATTTATTTCGTCACATGTTGAAGTCAAGTACGTACGCTGAAGCCACTACCTCATCACTGAAAATTGAAAAACTAGAAACCGCCAGACTCAGAAAGAGCCGTTGTGGCGAAGCTTAAATTGGAGGAGTCCTTAAACTTCCTCACGAATGAACATCTCGCCCGAAGGTTTCTGTGCGTGCGTGAGTACACTTGTAGCCCCCGCGTCCCGCTACAGTTTGTTGCACTGTGCGTGTCACGGACGATAGTGGCAGGGAGCAGGAAAACACTTCGCTCCGCTCTGTCGTACGTCACTCGTCTAGAGCCAGTTCACAATTGCGCATGCCTGCGAGGCCACTGTGCTGTAGTTAGATAGAAACATGTTTTTTATAACCCCCTGAAATCTTTAAAAGTTTGCATTTATTAACATTCACACCTTTTGCCGTTAAGACTTCAACTTCCGCGGTGCAAGCCCAAACGATCTGTGAGAACTATCCTCTTACGTGGCACCGTTTGGGATGGGTAGTTTACCTGCCAATTTGGCCGTTGGGCTTTCCTACACTACACAGCTGCCCACAAGCGCGATTTGGATGCAAATTCTGCGAATTAATTTTGATCAAGAAGGCCCGGTGATTCCCAAGGGTTATTTTACATAATAATCACTTGATATGCATGCCATCGATTTCCCCTCCGTATAATCCATCGGATGCGGCCCTTGAGTGCGTCTGGGGCGGCGGCGGGGCCGCGGGAGGCGGGAGGGATCGGGAGGCGGACGAGCAAGAGCGAATGGAGGTGCTCCGCTGGAGCGATGGCGGTGAAGCAGCCACCCGAAGCTACGCCCCCATGCGACACGAGGGGGACGAGCGCGCTCCGCACCGCTGCCACCCACTTTGTTTTGCGCGACATTGTACTACCGGCTCAAGCCTCACTTGCCCCTTGGGGAACACTCTAAATGACGCATATTACACCTTGAAGCACTGCCCACACGCTGGGCTTGCTCCGGGAAGCAAATCTGTAAAGCTTGGTAGGAATATGGTAATCTGATTATATTTAATGTTAAATCACAAATGAAATTAAATGTCACGTGGTAATAAAATTGTATTGTCTTTTTTCAATACAATTTAGCTTCTTCAAACACGTATTACGACGCTCGTCTTCTTGTCAAAGTTGTTATGCTCTACCCTATGGAGGTTGATCTAATAATTAAAGATAAAAAAAAACTATTGTAAATAGATGGTCGTGTTGTGTATAACGGTGCCACAGTAAAAGGTAAGCCAACATTTCACCAGATTCTATCATTTAAGGATATCGAGAGACTTACTGTGGCTTATCTTGTTAATGCCTCAAGCCCTTCAATTGATGCGGTAGTGCTCGAAATCAGCGGTCTAAAACGGATAAAAACCATAAATCTACATAGTTGTAGTTAGAAAGAGTGGAGACAAATAAGTAAGTATCCGACAATAAGTCCGCAAATAAGTAAGATCAAGGCATGCATATGATGTTTACTTTTTACAATCTATCAACATTCATAACATGAAATATCCGCATTATGTCCAAAAATTCGTAAACATCTATGGAACGCTTAAATACACTATCTCTGTTTCATGAGAAATATGACATGTAGCACGACCACTTAGAAAAAGAAATCTGGCCTGGGCATGCGCGAAAAGTAGTGGAGGGGAAGGTCCCCTCTCTTAGAGGCTCAACTTCTCCATTTGAGGAGGAACCGCTGCCAATACTAAAATGTTACTTTTATTATGCGATACCTACAATGACAAACGACACGTAGACTACTTTAGAATGTACAGATGCTCGCCTGTTTAGATCGAAGTTACCTTAACCTGGATTTCAGCGAAAATGTTTCGTAGACTACTTTAGTTCCAGATTTGCCAACTATAATCTGCCAAATTGATGGCGGGGATCCACGGGGAGAAAAATGAGGGAAATTTACCCCCTAAATTTTTTCAGTAACTATTAACTTTAACTTGTCCCAAAACTTGAAGCAAAAATATTTTCGGATAATCATTTACATGACTAAAATCATCTTGTGGTTTATGCAGAGTGTAACTATTTACAAAATTTGTAATATGACGCATTCGACCCAAACAATTTCAATATTCCCTTCCAAAATTTGTTTCTGTCCGTGCAAATGGCAAGGGCCGCGGAGGAGCGAAGGGCGTAGGGTCACGCGGAGGCGGAGGGAAAGGGCAGCGGGGCAGCCTGGGCGCGCGAGGAGCAGGGAAGGGGGGCGGGGCGCTGCGCCGGTAACCCGTGTAACGCTCTGCAGAGCGCGCGCTATTTCAGGAGCGCTGAGCACCCGACGCCCCCCCCCCCCGCGTCTGTTGCGCCGCGTGGACCGAGATGCGGTGGAGGGCAGGGCAGGGGAGAACAGCTCCCCGCAAGTGAAGTCTGGGTGTGCAGTGATGCGACGGTTGAACGTCACTGTGCACTGACTGGGATTGGCTGGTGTTGTGGAGCGCTATAGTCTGGAAAAAGTGGCCCAGTGCATCAACTGATGTCTCTGCAGTATCTCCGAGTTCTTGGGGTTCGTATCCCGCACAGTGGCCGGGACTAGTGACCTAGCTAGATAGCTAGGTCGATTTCAATCGCTGTCTGGAGAATACTAGCGACCGGCTGCTCTGATCCATGTTTTTCCGAGGTTTCGTCGATCAATATCACGCGAATGTCAAAGCAGTACCTTCATCAACACCTCAGACCGTACGCGATCTTTCCGTTCTCTTCCTCGTCCCCTTACATAAACATGCACTCACTTTCACTACACTGACACTAGTCGGGAGCTTACAACTTGTCCCGACAGGGCGGTGCCCAGCTAAGGCACCTGGTTGGGGAACATACCCGCAAGGTTCGGAGATCGGGGGATGATGTCGCCATCGAGAGCCGGATGATCACCGCCACCTCCGGTGATGAAAACATGGATCTTAGCTTTCGACGCTCCCGGATTTACTAATCAAACAATCGAGCGCTCCGAAAGTTGTGACAAGAACCGATGATATAACGTTCACTCTCCGACTGTGTTTCTCTCAGGCTCCCCTAGCTTCCTTCTATCCGAAGGATGGCTTCGGCCTCCGAGCGTCTGACGCAGATGTTTCCACCACTCGCACTGCTTCCAATGTACCGCAGGCCGCCCGAGATGAGCTGGTAACGGAATGGATGCTCTGGCGTCATGTAAAGTGCAAGACATCGATGCCATAGAGAAGGTTGCTACCTTTTGCACTAAAATAATTTCCTGTGCATGAACACCTTGAGCCTTCGTGTAGTGTGATAGGTTGTCGAATGTTCTGAAAATTGTGACAAAAACGTGTGAATGGACGTACGCTCTACGATTGTCTTTCCTCGAGTTCTTCCTTTTCGTGCTTTCTACTGCGGAGGAAGGCTTGTGTCTTGGCCCTTCGCCTTTGTTGATTCTTGGAACTGCGTAGCCTCTGTTGCGCTGCCTGTCGATCGAGCTGTAGTCGGAAGCTGCAGACGACGCTTTGTGAGACATGGCAACCATAGTGCGCGTGCTAGAATTTACTCTGAAACTATTCCGCTATGTGAAGTTTGCATGCGTCGGTTGGACGTCATCGCGCCTTCAATAGTATTCAACTCAATTTAATTCATTTCTTGCATTATTTTACGTGCCGTGATTCAGGTCTCCACACCCGCTTTTTCGTGTGACCACGTCCATTTTGTTATCCTCCTTTTATCGTCTAGAGAAGGAATCATTCGCGCGTCGAAACAGGCATTTTGAATTTAGCTCATGCGCTTCTTTTAGACTTGATGCTATTTCACAGGCAGTAAAATCTATATGGATAGTCAACTTTACTTTCCCTCTGAAAGAAGGTATAAGAAGATTTGTTTTCGCCCTTGAAAATTCGCGAGTTCCAGATTGAACCCGCAAACGTGGGTGCAGCGGCCTGATATGTGTGGTGCATAGATTTGTGGGGTCGAGCTTAACGAAAAGTGTGCCAAAAATTGAGGATGTGTGACGTTCTAGGAACGACTGAAGTTGCAATCACTCTTTCCCGTCGTTACTTTTGGGCTATTAGTGGGATGGCTTCACTCCCTCGGCGTCCGCCTTATGGTTCTACGATTTGCGGTTGCCTCAAATGCTATGCTGCGGGGCAACGGCGAATACTGTGGTGACAACGGCTCTGGCGTTAACTTCAGGGCGTCGACCGAGAAATGGCGAGTCGGCGCTGCAGGGAAGGTGCTAGCATTGCGTGGCTTCTTTCTCCACTGAAGCTATTCTCCGGAATTACTTTGTGTCCGCTGGGCCGCCGTGCTTCTTCAGTAGTATTGATCGCTACGAAATGCGTGGTGAGACGCGCGTGGCACGACGTTCGCTGTGCGGCTGCCCTCTTGACCCTTCTCGAGAGGCGCCTCTGTCTCCGAGCGGCCGCCTCGGTCGCTCCCACGCACGCGGCGCCTCTCCGGCGCTGCAGAGCGCCCGCACGGAGGCACTCGGGTTCTCTTCTCTGTGCTGTTCCTTTGGCCTCTGCGAACTGAATGCGCTGACGAGATACCGACTTGGCTGCAAAGATAATATAGTAAAATTTGCTCATGGGGAACGTGAATAATGCGGAAATCAGTCTAATGTGAACATAAAACGCGGTCCTGCCGAACATACGAGTAAGTTCTTCAGTGTTATATTGTATGAAGCGGAATCTTGCTTAATACGAAGAAATATACTCGTCCCTCGAGCACGCTTTACTCTACTACTGTTTGTATTTCTGCAAAATCAGAGGAGTTAAATTAATTCCGTATTACAATAATGAGACCTTTTTATTTTGTAACTGCTTAAATTTCATAAAAATAGAAATCTTTAATAAGATAAATTGTTCGAGGTTCGCGTCTCGACCGCTAGAATCTTCTCCAGTGGCAACTGCTGTTGAGCCAACGCAGCCGCGATAACAGAGTGATGGCCTCTGTCGCAGCCAGCAGTTCGCTGGCTGGCGCTTCCCCTGAAGCATTCTCATTGCGTGCATCCTTGCAGCAAAACGTCGTTGTCAGGCCAAGGCAGAGGTTCTATGAGGATCGTACCTCGAGGTAGGAAGTTGGTACGATTAAGATGCGATTAAAAATAACTGAAATTTATGGTTTCAGTTATTATTTGGCAAAAATTCAATACCTTTTGTGAATACATTATTTAAGTTAATCTAAATACCCAACCAGACTTGCAAAATAAAATAACTATGAATTATGGTGACCGTTAAAATCAGATTAATGAACTTTAATTACTCCCTCTGAGATGTGGATTAATAAAATCTTCTTGATTAAAATTTTCTCGTAATATTGCCTATTGATGGATAACTAGCAGTTAAAATACTATTTTATGACATTCGAATACATTTCACTTGTAAAGCGATGCTGTCAATTGCGTGCAATGAAGTACTGACGTTATATGCAATTTCCACAAAACATAAAAACGGCATTAATTTGGATAGTTAACACCCGATATGTGTATAGCTACTTCAGGCTCTTCACTAGTGCAGTGTGTTTTTGACATACGTCAAAGCTTCACACGAGTAGAATAATGGAAGATTTGTTTGAAATTTAAAAATAGAAAGCGCTGATTCGTTTCTTTATTAATGCAATGCATACGATCACGTGAAATCCCACCACTTAATGTCACTTCACTTCTAATTGCAACACGTCTGACAGTTTGAAACTATTTATCTTTAATTAGGTATTACTTCTCGTTGAAATTCGACTGATAATGTTTCCCTGTGAACGATGTTCATCATTGCAACGAAATTTTAATTTTAAATCCCTCTCTCATTTATTCAATATTAATTTTCCTAATTTTATCTTCACAACCACCACGACTATCAGTACTTCCACAACCATTGCTGTAACCGCTTAACCTTGTTACAGCATCCAACTTTTAGTGAAGGTATTCGACACTTTGACTCTATTCAAGCTACCAATGAATTGGACCCCCCATTTTGTGTAATCAAATATTGACCCCGGATTTAAAATCAGCGACCCAGAAAACATGTACGTCCAGATATGCCATAATCCATTACACATTTTCATTATTGGATCTTGTAATGACCACGATTTCGGGAGTTGGGACTGTATTGCACAGCGACCATCACCACTTCCACAACCACTTCGACAATAATTACCTCCAGAACCACCACGGCTATCACTATCTCTACAACCACCAGGTCTATAACCACCTCCACAAACATTACTACCCCACCACCAACTCCTCTCCTACATTCGCGTCTGGAAGCGCCTCCACTCGGCGGCAAGTGCACCCACCGCCTCCGCCTCCGCTCCCCTCCCCCCGCCCGCCCACCGCCGCCGCCGCGTGCGCCGGTTCATCGCGCCAGACGTCGCCGCCATTAGCCGCGGCCGCATAAGGCGAGGCCCGCGACAGCTGCCGGGGAAGGTGGCGGCCGTCCGCAGAGGCGCGGAGTGAAGTATTTCAGTCTAGGTGTAGGTTCTGTTTCTGCTTTTCTATTGATACATGTTTCCGATTAGTTACCGTCACAATCGAACGGGAAGAACGTGCCTTAATGAACTTTAACTACCATCAATATGAGTATTTAAGCACGGAGTAATTCAAGCGTACGATTTTTTTTCAGAGCATATCATTTAGCTTTCATGCCTGAAGTCTTTGTTAGTTTTTCCTCCTTTTACCTAATACTACCCTATGCTACGTGTTCAGGATGCACTAACTGATATATAATTATGACGTTTGTGGTGTTTATGTGCGATATTTAGAAACAACTTTCACAGATGCACTTCGGGGAAAATGCAACAAGCAGGGACTGCCAGCTTTTCTCATTATCCGCTTACTCTTTTTCTATTTCAAGTGATTCATCCTCTGCATTTATCACATTTCGTTTCATTTATGCTCTCGTATACTATTTAAGCCCAATTAGTTGCCTTTGCTTTCGTTTTTTAATAAAGATTTAACTAACATATCTTCACTGGATCTTCAAAATTAAATTAATTTAGGAAGTCTGTGGGAAATTTAGACATTGCATGACAGAAAATACTGAATACTGTGAAGTTCAAACAGGCGAAAACATCTATGAAAACTGCTCTCACTGTGAGAGGTGGGGGGGGCGAATGTTTCAACAGAAGAGGAAAGCCAGGCGTTGCTTGCCGTAGAATGATTGTGTGTTTTCCAAAGAACATAAAATTTACTTGCTAGGGTGAAGGTATTTTTCGGGTTGTTTGTTGATCTTCGGAAGAAGTTACTTAAAATAAAACTATTTTACTTTCTCGGTGTCTCGGTTGTTTATAAGGCACTTTTCGGAACTCTGTTTATTTGGCTGGAATGTATTCAACCATTTCCTCTGAACAGAGATGCCAAGTAGCCGTGGTAAGTTCCTTGTGAAACATATTCGAGGAAATAGCGTAAAATATCCTCTGAAAGAAGGCAAATAATGTAGTGGCAGTGTCAGTTAATATTTTCAAATGTATGAAGGGATGTAGTGTTATTTATGTATGTGGTATTAGATTGAACTATGCTTTTCCGAAACTAGTCTCTTGCGACTTATACTGCACAAGATTCATGACCCGAAATGAGTGTTTACCTTACCTTGCCTTGCATTGGTTTGATACCAGGATTTACCATCAGTAAGTAATTCTCTGTACAATTATCGAACTAGGAGTGCCTGGAGAAATGCTTGTAGAATTTATTTCATTACTGATCTTTTCGCAAAAAAAAAAAAAAAAAAATATATATATATATATATATATATATATATAATCAAACTCAACACTTCATATTCAATTTACTATCCGCGACATCAAAATCTAGGCCGTGAAAACGTCTATTTCGATTATTTAGTAAATAAACTACTTCTTAATATTAATATTTACATGTGCATTCATGTGGACAATGCAGCTGATTTTTCACACCCTTTGGGCAAATGTTAAATGCGAGAAAAAGGCAAAGTGGACATGTTTGCTGTTTAATGGTAGAGAAATTTTAGCAATAAAAATTATCTTGTTTTTTCTAAACTGTTATCAAGTAACATAACCTTGCTCATTATCACCAAATCCTACCTCGTTATGAAATGTGCGAACTAAAGAACCCGTATAACTAGAAATTATCTGACTGGCAGAAATGTCCCAAATGGTTCGTAGATATTCATTCAAAAGTGAAACTTTAAAGTATATATCTTTGACCCCTGTGAATAATGTGATAAATTGTGAAACCCTAATTGTAGAGAAAGTTTTCGTAACATGTCATCCTTTATTTTTGGAACTAAAGTTTAGCGTAAATAAACATGTAACTTAAATATCTTATGTTAGTCACAATTTTTTATAGAGTGAATAACCAAAAAACTCGATTATCTTGTTAGCAGTTACGATTTTAATGAAATTTACCTGTATTCATAATTTTATGAGAACCCATTACTCAATCTTATAAGGTTATGTAGATGATATAAAAATAAGTTTTTGTTTGGTGTTTACGTGTGTTACGTCAAAAGAGTAAAAAAAAGGTATGAGATGTACTGTGGGGGAAATCATATTCTGTGCACGGTTTCTTAATTTATGAATCGTCTAACTTACAAAAAACTGAATTATGAATGCAGGTGAAAACGATGGATTTGGGCAAAAAATGATGAGAAAATATTTGCTGCAATAAAAAGTATTGAAACTTTAAACTGTGAACTATCTATTTACTGCCGAGAGAACGTGAAGAACTAAAACTTAAATAAGTAAATTCCCTAATGAACCGTAGAAAACACACACAGATAGTGAAGTTACATTTATGTCGAAAAGTAAAACAAGGGGACCACTCACCATTCGCTCGAAGGGTGAGAGGAACCTGGATGAAAAAACTGAACGAGATGGGGGTCATTGACTTGTAAATTGAGATACAGTACTTGTTACAGGCGTATTTAGTCTTTCAGAATATTACAGTCCAAACGGTAACTAATATGCCTCTCTCCAGGTAATATATGGAACGGCGAAAGCGATTTCATTGGAATGGAGAGGGTTTTGTCGGTCTATGTTAAGCTACTTTTTACAAATTGTTTCCTAGTATATAAAGAAGAACGTTTGTTCGTTCTGCACACAAATCTAGTGTTATGTCGATCTTAATAAAATTGTGTTCACGTGATCTTCAAAGGAAGAGAAAAGCTATTGTCTGCACGAGATTTCGTAAAAATAACCACAATTCCTACCTATTAGTGCATAATTAAGTATTTTGAATTTTGTAAAAGGAAGAACAAATCTATGAAAGTGCTTTAAAAGTTTCTTCAAAAACACATAATATTCCCTCTTGATAGTTTTGTTATTCATTCCAATAGTGCATTTACGCTTGGAGTAATTGTGTCTGGGAATATGTTTGAGCTGTCCATAGCAATGTTGGTAGCAATGGTAATCGTAGAAAATGCGTAAAGGCAAGGAAGGGCGACGACAGGGCAAAGGGCACGCTCGGTTTGGGCAGCAGAGCCCAAGGCAAGGCAGGCGCAAGCGACGATGTGCTTGCTGTTCATATGTCATTCTTGTTTTACCTAATAGACGATTGCCTAATACCCTGCAACGCGAGGACTTCAGCTAGGAAAACAAATTAAACTCGACGCACGTAGAGGCTCAGGTTTCAGAGAGATACGTTTAAATCCACTGGAACTAGAGAAATTGAAAAAGAAAAAAAAGAGAATGTTGTAGGTCAGAAGTGCCTAACTTTAAAGTTTTAAGGTCACAACTAAAACCTTTAATATGGTTGCGTGCCATATTTGCATTTGTCGGTCGATACACACGTGATGCCGTATTTTTGGTCTCGATAGTTTGCCCTTCTGCTCTGAAAAAGGGAGGGGGTGGATCCATATCAGACTCTACCATGCATAACGCAGTGAAACACATTGGGAGTTTTGTATTTCTGAAAGTACTAGAAAATAATTATTTTCTAGTACATAATTCGTACACTATTATAATTAGATTATAGTAAGATATTATAATTCCTTAAATAATACGAGTACACTATTTAAAGAATTATAATTACGTAAATGTAAACTTAACCTATTTTTACATTTAATGGTGTTGACCCTGATAGAAAAGTATTCTCGCCCTACCTGGATGCAAGGGATCTGCACGTTTGTCAAATAACCTTTTGCAGGCCACAGAAGACGGCACCAGGCCGCCAGTTGGACAGCCCTGTTGAAAAGGAATCACCTCTGGCAATAAAAGCAATTCACATTATAACTTTTCAGGCTAAAACAAGTTCTTACTGGGTCTACCAGACACAGTGTGCCCGTCTATGTAGTGAAAAGGTTGCCTGGTTGAAAGTTAAGGACACAAGTTAAACCCCAACTAATCGCATTAAAACAAACTGGGAGCCTAGATTCGCAATAACCCTGAAATTGAAATCGCAGTTCAGAAAGGGAACACTGAGGGCGTTCTGTGAGATCTGAAATGAGTTGCTTGTGGGTGTTGAGAGTTGAACCCCTGCCGTCGGTCGTTCAACAGCGTCCATGAATGTAGTCGGGAGCATCTTGAGAAACGCGCAACAGATGGCTCTTCGCCACATCCTCTCTCTGCGCGTTAAAAAAGTGGATGCGGACTCTCTCGGCGGAGTCTCCTTTCCTTCCACGCAACGTTTTTATTTCTTACTTACTCGAGACAACTTGGAAAGTAACTCCACGCAAGAGGGGTGGGATGACAGTGATGACAAAAAATTCTTAATATAGTTTGTGTTTTCATGATCTTAGGTATAATATATTATACACTATATAAATGCTTGGCTGAAGGTAATCATCGTTGCGCCTGCCACATAATATGAAGCATTTTGCACTAATTTTAAATGCGTTCATTTGCACTTCTCATGGGACTTCTTGTTCTTTTTTTGGGTGGAATGGTTTATGATTTATTGTAAACCCACCATTTTTTATATAAAGAGATCTGTTTGTGGATATACGCCACCTGACCTACAGCCTTCTTACATGTTCTGAGGCGGACGATCTTCTGTGGCGCTGTTTCATTTCAGGTGCTGAGGAGGCCAATCACTGAAAGGAGAATGCGTGATGTCCGCTCCAAAAAATATATAGTTTAGAAAACCTTTGGTCGATTAGCATGCACTTTGCTTCTGACGGTAGGCTTTCCCGCCTTCAAGTGTTTTCCCTCAATCGTAATTTATGGTGTCTTTTCCGCGGCTTTGATGCAATGGAGAGACCATTTGGGGTGAAAACCAGAATGCGAAATGTTCGAACGCTGTAAGATTTAGGTATTGGAATGGCTTAATGACCTTCTGCCCAGCCACATAGTATCTCGTTATTTAATTTATATGAGTAATAATTACCTTTTAAATGAAAAATAACATGTTTTGAAGCGGAGAAGTGTCGGAAAATAAGGTGGTACATCGACGCCAAAAGTGAGTGCGATGACTCGGGCAACATCTCTGGCCACTGCAGGGTCTCTGACCGGCAGGCCCTAGGTTCGAGTCCTGATGGTGGCGGATTTTTTGACATGAGCTAGATAAGAGTTGCTGGCATCTGGCTGTTCTAATCGATGGTTTTCCGTGTTTTTCCTGATCAATAACAGGCGAATACTGCAACAGTACCATAAAAAATGATCACGCGCGAAGTTTTCTTTTTCATCATTGACCCCGCCCTCCCCCCTAGACACACACACACACACACACATACATTCACTACCCGACCACAAATGGAAGACCAGTCGCCAACTTAGCTTGTCCCACCTGGGGCGGTGTTCACTAGCAGATATGGCTGCCCTTAAGCAGACGTGTAGGTCGGGCCCGAATCGTACTTTCTTGTGGAGGAGGAATATATGCATCTGCGGAGATATTAATCGCACAACATTTACGGGGCTAATAGCCGTAGCAATTGCCGAAATACTAAATAATAAATGAACGCGATTAAACAGAACCTAACAACACGCCGCGAAAACGTAGTATGTGACAGAAATTCAAAATTTTCATGACTACGAAAGTCAGAAGATCCATTTATAATGTTCGTTCTACTGCATTGTTGCTGGATTGTTTACCATAAAGGTCTGGCATCTGGCGAACCCCCGGCCGGAGCCTCTGCAGGGGCGACAGTTGCTGCCCTGAGCCACCCGAGTCGAGTCGAGTCGCGTCGGCGCGCGGGGAGAAGAGGGGCGACGTCCTGCCAATGGTTGGGCCGCGTCACGAGTTGCCGGCGGGGGCGGGGGCCGGGAGCCTCGCGCTGCAGATTGCGCGTCGCCTCGCCTCTGGCTGCGGTCCCGAGTCACGGCGGTGCACTGCGCTCGTGCACCCGGTCTAGCTGGACGAAGCTCAAAGAATTCCTCGTCCTATCCTCACCCGTTACACATACACGTACTTACACTAACATGCACTACACTGCCACATGCCGAGAGACCGGTCGGGAGCTTAGAGCTTGCCCCGGATGGGGCGGTGCCCCGCTGGTGGGAGATACCTGCTTGAAACCCCGCTCGGTCGGTCCCGGTCCTCGCCATCCAGCGGGGGAAGTAAACCGCCCCCTCCCGAGGGAAAAATGCACAACAATTATGGGACTAATGACTTCGGTAGTTCATGCGGAATCGTTAACAACCAACGCACCAACGAATGGATATTGTAGACGATCCCTGGACAGTAGGCCCGGTCCCATTGCATGCGAATAGTTCGGACGAGTTGGCGAAGTTCCTAAGTGCCAGAACAGTTTCAAGTTAACATGTTAATATTCGGTCGAACTTTTTCATTCAAGATAGATTGATGATTCATTCATTCTGGGCACATTAACTGCAATGATCAGAGGTCTCACAAGTGTAATGCATGATACATCCCGGGAGGTAGCGGTGTTCCTCCACATAACGAGAGATCCGGCGCCAAACTACTTATCGACTTCTGGGGATTTGTCCCTTTGGGTAGGCCTATCTCCATCCAGCGTGCCCCAGTCTCGACAATCTCTAAACATCCGAATGGTCTCCCGTTATCTGTAAGAGTCAAAACAGACGTGGTGTTAAAAACGGATGGCGATGTTATTGGAAGATTTTTTTTAGGATTGTTTGGGCATTTTGTCAATTAACTGATACTTTACAGAGGAAAAGATGATTAGGATGTGTATGATACACTTGTTGGCTGCATCATATTGAGCATTCTGTTAAAAACCCTTTGTGTTACTGAGTTGTGGTATTTTATTTTTCTGGAAACATTACAAAGTTATTGCCGACACTTAGCATTCCGCTGAGTACTGGGAAATCCTAGGGTCCTACAGAACGCAGTTGGAACCCATCTGACAGAAAGCAATATAGCTGATGGTTACAGGCTGGGAGAGACTGAACGTAATGGCGAGACCACCAGATGGCGACGGCCCTGACTCGTGCTGAGGGTCAAGATCGTGTGTGGAGAATGGGCACGCGAGCGCATATGTGGGCAAGATCTGCTAAATTTTTCATGAGACATTTGGACGGACTTTTGAAACCAGTATTTTGCGTTCTACTTGCCGAAAAATTACCACGTGCACTTAGAAATCCAGAAATATTACGTAGTTCCCCTGCAGGGTATTACTTTCGCAATGATCAAACACATTTTTGTGCATATCTTGATACTTATTGCCTTATGCCTCAATGACAATTCAAATGTAATTAAATTCACTATCACAGATAAATGAATTCATTTTATCCTCGGTATTTGCGTGATAGTAAAACTGTAATATTTGTGGCCAGTGAACAGGGGATTGAGTAAATATTTATGATATGTTGCTACATTGTGTTATTTTAACTAGACCACATTTTTGCAACGATACTAATTTCATATATCTTTTGCAGGTGAGTTTTGAATCGTTTATTCTTGGATTTGCCAGTCTTCTTTCATTTCGGCAGATTTCTTCCATATATGGGTAAGTCAAGATATTTTACATATAATTCATTCGTTTGTTTGTACAGAAAAGGTTTGAGAGCACGGCTTACCGGAAAGTATGTGAATATATTTTCAATGACATGGAGTCCAATTACATTTGCTTTCGGAGGTTTTGTATCATTTCGCAACAAATGCAAATTTCAATTTTATTGCATTCATTGCAAAAGATTTCTTTGTACAAATAACTTGCATAAAAAAATTATAAAAACGATGAATAGAAATGTTTTCTTCGTAATTTAGTTTGAGAGTAAATGTGCGATGTGTGGAAATTGTGCTTCCAATAATAGTTTTTGTTATCGATAATAATGAGGTAAACTTATGTCATGTAGTTTGCAAAACAAATAGTGTATTATTTCATTTGAAAACTATACAACCTACGACCTCAGTAAAACAAAAGAAAAATTATTATTTTATAATTCCGATTTGTTAGATGCAGATTGATGATTACGATGATTTATTCAACTGAACTCAAAATCGTTAGATTCGTCGAAAGAGAAAATATACTTCATAAAACAAAACTAATATACTAATAAAACAATATCCTCATTTAAAATTGAAGTACATCGTACGTTATTGATATTTAAAAATAGTTATGGTAATGGTGAATTTGCAATTGATGAGAATATTTATGGATAAGAATTAATTTACTCTGTTAAATTCCGAGTTGTTTTCTAACAATATTTTAATTTTTTTCTTCATATTTTTTAACATTAATATAATTCGGTAAAAATCCTGACGCTTGGCCTTACAATCAGAAATAGAGCTTTCTGATAGATCTGCATGTATCCGGATTGGGAGATACTAGGGGAGAATTTTGTATACAAGCTTCAACGTACAATACTAACTTAAAAGTAGAATCTGGCTGACAAACCTACAATGCTTTTTGTACTTACGACGTTTGTTTGTTTATCAAACCCATTCTTTTTCTGTAATTACCAAGGTAATTAATTACATTAACTCTCTTGGGAGTTAAAGTTGCATTCGAAATCTCCTACAGCTAAAGAGTCACTTTATCACGATCAACTAGTGACAAAGAGCGCACATTAGCAGAATGGAAAGCAAAATAATTGAAACTTATATGCACAATAAATAATGAAACGCCGAGTGCCAAATGTGTCATTGGAACATCTGTCAACATCCCTGCTCCAAATGAACTCGGCGCTCCTCCATCTTGCGCAATTCGGCTGCCACATTTACTTTTTGCGCACACGCCGGCCCTTGCGGCGTTCGTCCTTTTCAGCTGGCGGCCCATTTGCGGGGAGGGAGATGCTTCTAATGGATTGTTTGAAGAGGACTGGTACTTAATGGGCGGCCACGGTGCCAGTGCGCTGACCCACGACAGCCGGGGCTGTTTTTCCTCCTTTGTAACCAGTATTTTGTATCGCGTATTGGCTAATTAATACCGGCTCTTTAAGCTTGTGACGTCTACTAATGAAGCAATGTTCATCATACGCACCTGAGTGTTTTTAACACGTCCTGTATATAATGGATGTTGTTGAGATAATTGTAAGCCGTTTGTGCGGTGATGCGGTGAGGTTTTGTTTGTTTTTGAGACTGATTTGTTTCACGCCATGTTTGAGCACGAAGTCATGAACATGCTGCTTGAAAAAATACTTACCACATAATACGTTTTGTATTTACATAGCTGAAAGCTGAAGATTATTATATCGTTTTTAATTTACGTAACTTGAAAACTGAGATTAATGTATAGAACTGCAAGTATTGGTTTTTCTCTATAATGATAATTTTTGGCATCTTATTGTTAGCATGACCTTTCACTCGTAGAATATCGTGGTTGTTGGCATATGAATTATTTATTCCGAAACACACACTTTGACACTTATGATATAAAATGGAAGGAACTAGTTTTCAATTGAATATTCAATTACTGTAAGTCACTCATAAGAGTCGTTGATAGATGCTTTAACGAGGTACATCACAAAAACTGAACAGAAATAACTAAAAAAGTGTACTATAAAGCACCTGTTATATTACTGTTACCCATTTGCAATTTAAAAATAAGGTTTTCTCTTCCATTGAAGAAAACATTAATTGAATAGAGGTGAAATATATGAGTTGTCTACAAATTATTTACAGCGGCACTTCATTATTTCTCTTCTCTTGAATTACCAGATTTAGACTGGCAGATTTTCACGTCAGCTTGCGAATTCTATTGCATAGAGGATTCACAACGAATCTTAAGGTTCAATGTTTTGTTTTTGTAAGGGCCTTCACATTTTCTCCGGAATGTCAGAGCACAAGAGTGCCGTTTGGCGTTTCATTCGTGAAACCGATTGTTGTGGGATGTATGATTTCATTACTTCCTAATGATACAATCTGGAACTTTTCAAGGATGTGGCGGCCAACTCTTTCAGAATTAATTCTCTTAACTCTCAAATTCTCTTAACTATCTTTATAAAAACCATAATATAGAAAAAACGATTTAAGAAATACTTTCAATTTCAATACCTGCAGTTTCTATTTACTGTTTAGCCAACTCTGATTTTCATCAGAGCGTTCTTACTATCGGCTCTTTATTCGCCTGTGGAACAATGCAGCACGTAGAATTTATACATTCTTGGAGAAATGTAATGGAGATTATTATTGATTTATTTTCTTTAATTTGCAGGTTGATAATCTATCAACATCGTTAAAGTGATGAGCTTTATACAACAAATATAATACGTAGATTTGTCGGTTGAGATTAGATTGCTGATTTCTCAACCCAGTACTTGTTTCTGAGGATATTGTTGTTCACAAGGTGCTGAGGCATAGCTGAGATCTAAAGTGAAAAGTTAATGTGCAGCTCCCAATCGCCAAACCCGTTGCGTAACTCTCCCTACATGGCAGCCGCCAATTACCGCGCTGACGCCGCTGCGCTTGCTCTCCAGTGGGCGTTCGGCGAACGTGGGCGGAGGGGGGGCTGATACCGCCCCCCGCTTGGGCCTCTGCTCCTGTCGCTTCCATTCCTCCCTTCCTGCCTGGACTTCCACCCTTCCCCGTTGTGTTCCGCTACAACATTCTCCTTCTCTCGACTCTACCCTTCTCCCAGACCTAGTCTCTGCTTTCTCCTTGAACGTAGCACTTCACTTGTCCCCCCGCATGTATCCCTGCACTTTTTCTGCGCTTGTGTAAGCGCGCATGCCTGTTTTCCCCTGCCTTATCCAACGCTCTGTTTCTTGTGCCCTTGCCACTGAGTGCATTACCCGCGCCGTATGTTTCCTAAGCCTTTTTTGTACCTCCCCAAAAAGACAAAGCCCGTTTGTATTGGTCTGGTATGAGAACTTTCATCTCATACCATTCCTTTCGACTGGTATGAGAACATCTAATTGCATTCCTCGTGGATGGAAACAGCTGCGAACGTGATTTGGTTAATTTCTTCCCCCTCCCAAGGGCAGGTGTGCATTCGGAAGGTACGCCTTAGTAGGTAGCCAATGGAGCGATTCCCTTGCTATTGCCTGTCTGTGCACCCTCAAAGCCAACTTCCCCGTTTCCTAGCCAACTCCATGTCCTTGCCATCTCCCCATTCTCTTTGACGTCCGCTCTTCTGGACATGTCTCTTCGCTTTGCCATCTTCCTAGCCCCTTTGCCAACGCCGAGCGGAATTTCTTGCCATCATCCAGCTCTCGTTGTCATCTCCCTGCCCTCGTTTTTATTTCCTGTTCCTCCTTGGCTATCTTTTCGCCGTCTCTTCCTACTTGCTATCTTCCCTCACTTCGTGCGCTCCATGAGTCATCCCTCTGAAATCGCTCCGCTTTCCACCTCCTCGTTTCTGTCGCTCGCTTTTCACCTCCCTCCCTCCTCTCGTTGACCACCACATCATCTACCCCAGTCCTGCGGCTCCCTCTCTGCTCCCTGTGCTCGGGCGTGGCGGGCGGCGGCGCGCGCGAGCGGATCGGGGGGCGGATCGGGGAGCGGGTGGCCACCGCGTCAAGCCTTCGTCAGGGTGCACCTCAGCTATCGCTGATTAATTCCATGAAAACGTTCAATTCATACCTTTCGTCGTAGGGTGGTAACACAAAAAACATTTATTATAATTGGCTTTGTATACGTCATCAGTTTTATTAGTATAAGCAAAAGAACAATATTGTTGCGTAAGTTCACCGAATACATGAATGTTAATGATATAATTTTATAATAATGTAACGTTTTCCCACAATTTTATTATCGGTCCTGCAATAGCTTTCTGAACTACATTCATTCTTGAAATTTCCCATGGAGGAGTTCGTGCCAAACATGGTATTACTTATGATTCTTTGCCGAATCTCATTGTTAATAAACTTCAAAGATATTAACGGAATAAATTCACGTTGGCCACCACTGCTTTGTGCAGTCTCCGGGAGCAGGTTTCACGGCCCTGGTCGAACCGCGCGCGCGGCTGTGGGCGGCCGGGGGGGGGGGGCGTGGGGCAAAATTACGGCTCGCGGCCGCTGTCGGTAGTTCTTGCCCAAGACAAAACACAGTGTTGAGGCCCAGCGATTTGACGTCACGTGCTGGGCGGGCCGACAAGCGGGAGCAGGCCATTGGGCGCGACAGCACAGGGTGGCCCGGCGCGAAAGCTATACGCGTAAGAACTGAGGTTGCAACTCAAATGTGGAATGTGTGAGTGCCTGTGTATATGTATGCTTATGTGTGTGTGTAATGTATGCTTATGTGTGTGTGTAATGTATGCTTATGTGTGTGTGTAATGTATGCTTATGTGTGTGTAATGTATGCTTATGTGTGTGTGTGTAATGTATGCTTATGTGTGTGTGTGTGTGCTTGTCATTAGAATAATTTCCCACTTGAAGAAAGTACGGAATTTTTTTGTTTCAGGGAGGTATTAGTTACTGTTGTTGTTTTAGATAGTATTGAAAAGTATTTTGCAAAAACTAATAGAAGGCAGTATTTCAACTATGTTTTCATCTCACACACTGGAGTACAAAGTGGGTTCCCTTTTTGCCTTTTATTGACTCGCAAACATTGATCATTATTTCCACATTAATTGGTTTAGAATGTCACATTGACTTACATAATGTGATCACGAAACATTCTGTGCGAAGGATGGCTGTTATCTACTTATAAATAAAATATTCTGAAAATCTTATCAGCTTGTTATACTATTCAAATGTAAAATCCAATTTTAACCCTTTCCAGTGGACAAGAGTTGCCATGGTGGGAACTGGTCTCACTTAATCACACGAATGGTCGATCTAACAGACACTTCTGTTGTACATGAGCTTGGAACTGCATGCTCCTACGAATAAGGCAAAGACAACTCGTTGATAAAATGAGATATCTCGGTGCCATTAAAACGTGACAGGACACATTCCTTCATGAGGTAAAGCAGAGAAGGAAATCTTCAATCTGCAAGATGTAATTTTCGATTGTAAATAACAATTTTTCAATTACAACCTCTCGTTGGTCTTCCTTTGAGTTACGTTGAGCAGAAATCATATTGTTAATTCCTTATGCATTATTGCGTAATTATACATTGGTCTACCATCTAGCAGCAAGAGCAGCATAACTTAGAGTACAGTATTCCAACAACAAATGGCAGAAGTGTGAATGCAAGGATGATGTATTTCAATACAAATTTGAACCTTTAAACTCGCTTATCGCTGCACCTGATTTTTTGAGTTGGGCCATTATTGCAGCCTACGAGCGACATGATAGTTGTAAAATTGTTATGATAAGGTCTTTCAGCATTCAAAAAAAACTAATGTGATCATCAACTACTATAATAGAGCTATGTGAATTATCAAGCCTCGTAAAAGTCAATGAAATTGAATTGGAAGTTTTTTGGGAAAATATCTTTCATATAGGGGAAAATATCAGTAATTATATAGTTTTACTGCAATGAGACGTAACAGCAAAATCTATTGTAACACTTATGAACTGAGATTATTTAGCTGGCTGTGACTACGTCTAACGCATTCTGAAGCAGTTCCTATAGAATACGAGAAAAGAAAAGAGAAAGGAAGCAAAAACTATGGATGTGGCTGGTGGAGTCGGGCTGCGTGAGATGGTATCGTCGTAGGGGTTCAGATCACGGGGAGCGTTTGACCCATCCTTTGTGTCTTATTATTATTCGTTACAATCCCTTAGGGCCTCCTGGTTTCCCATGGAAGTTCTACATGGGTTCGTGCCCGATGCAGTTTGGTTTAGTACAACTATGCAACTGAATGAATTTCACACATATTAAGCTGTATTGATTACTACTGACTAAACAATTGTCATGTAATTTGGCTGTCAATGCAATCTGTCTTTAAATATTGATATTGTTTCGACAACACTTCACTGGCTTCACTTTCCTTTATTTCCACAATTCAGCTTGAGATTAATTAAAAAATTACAGCCGAACAAATTTAATCTCTGAAATATAATGCTTTTCGTACATGAAAATGAAAATGATTGTAAGTCTTGCAGAGATAGCTCGAGGAAGTAACTGTTGCTACTGCAGCATTTCTTACAAGGAGTCCTAGTATTGAGAGATTTGGAGTTTCATCAGTGGTGGAATTTCGTGCCTAGCTCGAAATTGCTAGGTCGAATTCAGTCGCTGTCTGGAGGTGAATTATGTGTGGCCGACTGCTCCGGGTGGTAGTTTTCAGTGATTTCTCCGATCAACACAGGCGAATGCCGAGGCGAACTTTAACTAATGGGCCACGGACCGCGCGCGATCATTTCTTCCTGTTCCTTTTCCCTTCTCTTCCCATATAGCCGTCTATGTGCGAATACTACAGAGGAAGAGGTATGCATATGAGAGAGGGTAGAAAAATGAGACGCCAAGATTTGCGCCTCCGTATAATGTTGGCATTTGTCTAGGGTCTGGAGAACTGCGTAGTCTAGCATCATCATTGCATTCCCTCTACGTAGGGTCACTTCAGTTTTCGAAGTTTCCTGAGGTAAACGTTTGCAGTTAGTAGTGCTGTGGAAAGTTTTTGTAGAAATACAATTTACTTCGAGTTATCTTATGATTTTACGACAAACGAAGGAGGTAAGACATCGAAATATTGCAGTTTTTGAGTATTAATGGATTTACAATAAAATGCAATGTTCGGTACAATATGTTCGTAAAATGTAAGATGGCGTCGTGGTCGTAAAATGAGACGCTTGATTGGTTGATCTTGGTCAGTGTCAATTTTTGGTCTGGCCTGTGTATTTTCTAACGATTGTACGAGTGAATTGTGGATTTAGTGCATCTTATGCAAAATCGGGGCTCATAGTAATTGTGCCGGTCCAATTAGTGCATCCTACATTTGTGATTATTTTAAAACCAAGTGATTTGTAAACGTGTATTTCTACTTATTGTATACAATGTAAGTGCATAAAGCCCTTTATTTAACATTTTGTAACACATGTCTTTTTTCACTATAAAACAGTAGTGTCTACTACCCGAGTTTCCAATTCACTGGTTGTGACATTATTTAGAAAACTCAAATATTACAAGTTCTACAATGTTTAGATAGATAGATTTATAGTTTTTGCTAGTAGGTTTATACAACCTGGAGGCAGAACACTATAATTTACATATTACAATTAGGAATATTAATATACTGCAATTTTAAATTATTTTAAGACAATAATAATAATAATAATAATAATAATAATAATAATAATAATAATAATAATAATAATATAACAATAATGGCATAAACGCTACATTTTATTGCTGGCCTT